TAACCGTAATTGTATTAATTAAATTAATTGTGTAGTGTAATTTGTATTTGATTTGATAAGTAGTAATTTGTATTTGTGAATTTAATTTTGTAGTACTTGTATCTAGTAATGATGCCATCTCACAAGTCACCGGCATTTCGCTTGCAAGCGGAGCTGCGCTGGGCTGCGAACGCCCACAGCTTGATAGGGCGACCAGATCGAGTCTATAGTTTAGAGAAGCGCCTCGAGCAGGTCATGGCCCGAAGGGCCGTAGTGGAGGAGGCTTGCTCCGAGTTTATGGCCTCGGGAGCGGAACAGGGAGTCCTAGACTCCGGCCTCACGGACTACGAGCAATTTTTTTTCGCTCACGGACGACTTGATTGAGGCGGGGGCCAAGTATGCTAGTGACGCGCGTGAAGCTCGGCTGAGTGGCCTGCTCGAGTCCCCTTGGAAGCAGCCTAATTAGCCGGAGCTGTTGGGACGACTCCCAACTCTGGACCTTCCAAGGTTCTCCGGGGTCCTCTCCGAATGGCTAACCTTTGTGGGAATGTTTGATAGCCTAGTGAACGCCCGCAGGGACTTGACACGAAGTCAGAAGATGGCTTACCTCCTGGCCTCACTGGAGGTGGAGGCCCTGGGCGTCTTCGGCCATCTGAAATTGTCGGACGACGCTTACCTCGGGACCTCCTCGCCGGCAGGTACACCAACGTACGGCGAATCGCGGACGAACACGTCAAGCAGATGTTGACCCTCCCGCTGCTAAAGGACTGGGCCAGACTACGGCCGGACCTCGTAAATCCAGTCTTGGTGGAGGGCAATTCTTTGAGGCGTCTGGATTTACCGGTGGACGAATGGTCCTTTTTGCTGATCCACATTGTGCTGTCCCTCGATCTTCGGATCCACTACGAGTAGAGGTACGGCGGGGACGGCGCCTCCTAAATTTCGCCCTTCAGGGATCTGCTGCGGTTCTTGGAGGAGCAGTGCAGGCAGATTGAGAACGCAGCGGGCATCGTCGACGACCTACAGACTGCTAGCCGAGCCGTGTCCAGGGAGAGCCGGAATTCCCCGGGCAAGTCGTCTTCAACCCCCTCAGACAGAGCGGAGCTCCCGCGGGAGGGCACCACCCTCTACCTTCTAATAGTGGCCTAGTGGCCAGGGAGGCGCCCCCCCTGCTCCTATTGTCGAGCATCCGATCACCGGGTGACGTCGTGCCCTAAATTATTAGGTAAGCCGGTCCCAGCGAGATGAACTATCGCCAAGGAGCGCCACTGGTGCTACTCACTTTTGGAAAGGCACCTCCAACGAGACTGCCTGCACCAGCGGTCCTGTCCGCACTGCTAGGGCAATCACCATGCCGTTTTGTGCCTGGGTGCGAACGGCGCTTCCTCTCGGGGCTCTGCCGGGCCCTCATCCCCCACGGGCGGGGGCGTTCAGCCGCGCCCTCTGTCGGGCGACGCTCGTCGCTCTCCTGCCGGCCATCATGCCCCTGGTTTTGGAGGGGGTCCCTCCCACAACCAGTCGGGGAATCGTTCCGCCAGGGAGGGGGGTCGTCACCCCCCTCAGCGCGTGGAGAGGAACTTCACAGCCACTCAGCGGTAAGCGAGACCCTTCTCACCCCCGTTGGCTGAGAGGCTGCGACTGGAGTACCATCCTCCCCCCTTTGGTTGCTACCGCTACTACTACTACCGCTGTCCCGGGCCTCAAGGCCGAGGTTTCCTGAAGTCCCCTGGTCGGCCCGTTTGGTTATTTTCAACCGCGGGTCGTCGAGATGCCACCGGATTGCCGCTTTCGGGACCCCCGGTTCGAGTGCTGGTCCGATGGAGGCAGCTCCAACTAGGTAGCTGCTGCCCTAGCTCCTACCACGGCCGCTTCCACTGATCTTGTGAGTCGTCAGTCCACTTGTCAAACGGTTCTATTGTCGACGGCCTCAGTGAAGGTGTACCACCCGAGTGGCGATTGTGTAACGGTTCGCGCTATATTGTATTCGGGTTCAAACGCGGTGTGGCCCCCACTTGGTTGGTGGGTAGACTAGGGCTTATCCGCGAAATGTTTCGTAGTTGTAGCGGTTTTGAGTAAAAAGGTGAATTTGAAATGCTCTTGCATGCGTATATGTGTTTTTGTAAATGTATTTGATCATTATGTTTGCTTTGTTGAAAAGAAAATTGAAATAGAGTAGCTATTTGTGCCGAAGGAAATAAAAATTAATCCTTCTTTTGTTTTCACATTTTGTTGGCATTGTCGAAGATATTTACTTTGGAAAATATGGTTACTCTAATAATGAAATATTCTTATAGTATTTAAGGTTCACTTTGCGCTGACTTGACTGACTTTTGTAAATAAAAAAGACGTGTGACACTCGGGGACTGCCGCGGTAAAGCTATTGCATAGCATTTTGTATCAACTTATGCAATTACAATTATTTATTTATTTTATTTATGCAGTATTTCTTTTTCTTTGATATTAATTCAAGTTACACTTTTTGAGCGTGGTGACCGATAAGAAAACATTTTTTTTCTTTTATTAAATAAATAAAAAGTTAATATTGTTTAAAATATTTTTATTATTTTACAATACATGTGGGTTTTATTATCTTACAGTAGCTGTTGGTTATTCAGGAATATTTATCATTGAAACTATAGGTTTGTGATAACTGAAATAAGAAACATAAGTTTGTTAATAATAAATGCACTTTGTTCATTCATATTCAAAACACTATACACAAATTTTACAAGTACAGCTATTCACTGTTGAACATAAATACCTATACACCTATATACTTTCTCATAAACAGCTGCTTATGTATTCGTCCGATTTCGGAGCAGCTCGTCTCAATTCGTGCGAGCTTCGTAGAGTCGTACAATACGTCTAGTTGCACGCCCACAAACACCGTGTCGAAGACTGCCGAAAAGAAACGACGTTAGACAATACACGGCCTTCAAGCCACACCTCCGTGCCCGTCGGAGTGGGGAGCCTGAGGTTTTTTTTCGTTTCGAAATTTCTGGATTCGGTCCCCGCGCTCAAGGCCCGCGATAGAAGCTATGCAATAGCTTAAAATATCTAGGATTCCCTAGCCGTGATACATTACAGATTGACTATATTATCATTTATTTTACTATTGTAAATAAGTACTAATTGTAGATATTGACAGGTTTAATAGAAGTTCATTTTCTTATATTGTGACTTATAACCTAATATGACCTTGGGAAGAAACTCATTTTAATATAAGGTTTTACTGCAATGACTGCCAATGGGTTGTTAATTTCTACAATAGACCGTGGCGTATTGTTGCTGACATGAATAACTCCGAAAATATAATTTATTTACTTGATCGTGTTGAGTTTTTGTGCCCACTGTTATGACTTTAAAAGCTTATATGCATTAGACCAGCAAGAGACGAAGTGACATGCTTCTGTTGCATAATAATGTAACTGATCGTATATAGAATATCATTGCGTTGAAGACTCATCTTCAAACACTTCACAAATTGATAGACAAAAATATGTACCTGCATAATAAATCTGCCCATGCTGCTAGCTTTTTTGAGTTTGTATTTGTATCAGTATTTTTATTTTCAATTACTGATACACGCTCCCTTACCAAATCCATCAATAAATGCTATAAAAAGAAAAAAGATACTATTATAACAACACAGTTAACTAACATTTGTGCACTAATCACCTATGAGAAAATTACTTTAGTCACAAACTAACCTTATCTTCCTCCAGCCAATTTTCACTTCTTTGCCGCTTTTTACATGTAACGTTTTCCATTATTTTTATTGAGTTATATATGAATATAAAACAAATCAATTTCTTGAATCGATTTAACGAAAACACAGGTTTATTGGACGTTTATGAATAGAGAATTTTTTTATAGGTTTAATAGTACTATTGAGCATTTTAACTAATCACTGTTATAACGCCATTTTAGTGGATTTTTATGAAGAAGACTGTTACAGTAGCTGTTGGTTATTCAGGAATATTTATTATTGACACTATAGGTTTGTGATAACTGAAATAAGAAACATAAGTTTGCTACTTAATATCCTCTAAATACCTAGAAAATACCGCGTCAATGGTGGTCCCATATTTTGTTGTGGACTCTTGTGGATTATTATTCATTTTCAAATTCAATGTTTTTGATAGAAAAGTTGTCAACCGCTCTGATTTTCTATCAGCGAAGTTAATGTTGAAATCGCCAGCCAAGATAAGTGGAATTTTATTACCATTTGTACCAAGTATTTTCGACCCTTCTTCAGTGTACTCCAGTAAAGTGCGATGATTAAATGCTCTACCTCGTCCAATTTTGGATTCGGAGAAATGTAAATTGCAACCATAACTATATGTAGGCCATTTATAAGTTTGCATAGGCACGCACAAATATCTCCAACAACTGAGCGCCTAACATTAACATCGCTAACGTGTGCAATATTTATTTCAATATTCGGAGTCATAATATTAGTAATATTATTTTTATTTTGGTAAATAGCTTTACCCCACCTTTTAGAACAGTATCTCGTTTGAACTGAACAATACAATTAAAATTAGGTATTTCAATCGGATTATCATGCGTCATGCAAGTTTCGGTAAGAAGTAACACATTTGTTTGTCTCGTAACTGAATCTTGTAAATCGTATTTATGACTATTTAGACTTTGGCAGTTGAAAGTCATTATTGAAATGCCATTTCCATTACTAATGAAATCTAATACACTTTGAGCTACCGTCTGAACAATATTTAAAGACAGTCTTTTGAATTCTTGCAACAAAGATGCAGTCGATGCAGCTTGCTTTCGATTATGATAAAAATTGAATGTAGAATTATCGTTTTTTGTCGTGATATACAATTCTTCAATATTAGTCACCCGAGAGAGCGCAACATAAACGAGTTCCTGAGAATGTGCTTTACTATACTCATATACCATTTCGTCAAAAGTTCCACCTTGCGACTTATGTATAGTTAAAGCAAGAGCTGAAGTTAATGGAAAATGTTTGCGTTTGGCTATACATTTTCTATCCGATATTAATGAAAAATTTGCTGTTCGTAATTCAATGGGAACAGCGAGAGGGAACTCTGTTTTGCACTGCTAGAGCGGCTGCTTTTTTGCCTTTTTTTCCTACCCGCTTTATCTGAACCACAAAATTCCAGCCAAACTCTTATTAATGTGTTACTTTCATCAAATTCTAGATGTACCAATTTCCCAACAGCACCATTGCACAAGCCATCAGTAACGTCGATGTTAGTTGTAATAACATAATGCTTTCCAACGACAAAAGTAATGTGATACGGCAGTCCTCCAGTGTCAATAACAGATTTTTTATGTAATTTAAGTCTAAAATTAGCTTCTTGCTCAGCACTTTTAGCGCCAATAATGACGTCTACGGACGTTGAAAGAACTTTGTTTTCACATTGGCTCAAAATCAAATTGTTATAGGCGGCAACATCTTCATTTTTAAAAAATAAACGAACTCCATCAGGACATAATGTAGCAACATCCTTTTTTTTTGAAAAATCTCGATTCAATAAGTTGAAACTCATGCTCATCTAGTACATCTCCATTACCTATTTTTGTCAAAACTTGTGAAAAAGCAACATTAGCTTGTCTCATTACTGTGGTGAGTTGATAAAATTTTAATTTTCTCCATAAATGCGGTCCAATCATGCTCGTTCTGATTGTCTTGTAAATTGGTGTCGATCTTACTGGTGGCAATTGCCGTAAATCTCCGATCAAAATAACATCTATACTTCCGAAATCTGTGTTTTTGCCTGTTATTTGTTTTAGACGATTATCAATTTTATGTAGAAGTTCTGCACTAACCATGCTAATTTCATCAATGATCAGAACTCTGACATATCTGAAGAGAGATCTATACAATTGCATCGACGATTTCTGATGACAGAGGCAAAAGTTTTGAAAGAGAAATTTTGAGCGCTGTATGAATAGTTGTACCGTCAATAGCCACGGCAGCTTTGCCGGTTGAAGCACATGTAATATAGGCATTGCAGTAACCGTCATTATCAGTGAATCTATTGTAAATTTCCATAATCAGTTTGATAGCGAATGATTTTCCCGTACCTGCTGGTCCCGTAAAAAAAATTTTAAATGGTTCTTGAATTGAAGTTTGTAAATGATGAATTATAGTCATAAGAATATCTCTTTGTTGATCATTGGCCATCCGCATTAAATTATAGAATTGTTGATAATCCATTAAATTTTCTCTTTTTTTAGCTACAGTGCCAAGTTTATGCAGAGATGCATTTTGTAAATCAACATTAGCAGTTGAGATTGGATCACGTAGCAATAAGTCATAAGGATCTCTTACATGCAATATATCAACCGCTCTTAATAATTCTTCGTCTTCTTGTTCTTCATCGTTTTCTCGGCACAATTGTCTACAAATTTCTAAAGTTTTCTCTATGTCCAAATTTGATTCAAATTCTTTCCTACGTTCTAATATCGTATCTTTGTTGTCCTCGTATATTTGAATGAACTTGTTTTCAGCAATAATATCATTTTCTTCACTTTGAAAAGGAACATGCAACAGAACCATCTCACGCCTATAATCGTTGTAATTGTCAGCCATATCGTAGTTCCTGTATCTTATTATTCTTGCAGTATCTCTTTTAGTGTAAGTCCCCTTTGTATTTAGGTAATATTTTGCAACAAATTGTGCTAACGTAACATCGCGGAGTTCTTCAGGTCTTTTCTCATATTAATCAAGCCAATTCTCCAGGAAATACCGTTGGAATGTAGACTGACACCACCGATGACTTAGCCATAGGTTCTCTTAATAAATACCAAGCAGCTTCTTGTGCCGGCATTTCAACAGACTGAAGTATGTCAATACTCATTTTTTTCGTGATATCGACAATGTCGAATTCTGGATGCTCGTCCATTATGTCAATTATTTGTCTTTGCAAATTACTAATCCCTCTATTATGCTTATTGACATATTCAACAACATATGTTGCACAAGCATATTCATCTAGTATAATCTGAAAATCCATGTTGGATTTCAAATGATGTAATACGAATGGATTGAAAGTGTTGTGCCATTTTTCTGCTGGTGTCCTTTTATAGAATAATTTTGGTCTACTGATACCAGCACGAATAATATTGTAGTAATGATCATCAGAAATAATACCATTATGCGAGTAAAATTCATCAAAATCCGTATAGTCAATATTTTCGAGATTATTTTTTATAAATTTAAATCGTTCCTTATATTCTTTGAAAAGTGCTTCTGAGTAATCGGGATCAGTGTTTTTCATAGGTATGAAATTAATAGCTTTTTTTGTAGGCATAAATGGTGCACCAAATCGAGATTCTTGTTTTTTATTAGGATCCATTTTTTTATAACACGTGAATGTGTGTTTGTGTGTTACTAGTTTTATATTTCCAGACGCCTCTGACGCTGACACAGAAACTAATTCGTCGATTAATTTAATTACTTCGGGATCATTACTTAATAAATCTTCAGGAACATTGTCCAACCAAAGAAGAATATGAGCATGTGGGCTACCACGATTTTGAAATTCTATTCTTTTGAAATAATGTATTACTCTATATTTTCCGAATGGACTTCTTTTCTTTGATTGCAAAATTTTTAACAGACAATTTACCATTTTATTAAAATAGATAGCACAAGTTACGGCATCTTCATTCACAAGTTGAGCTTTATTCACATAACTCATTTCTGCTAAAAAATCATCTGAAAGTTCCGTTCCCTCGTTTTTTAATTTGTACAATAATTTCAACATATTTTCCCAGCCAGTTTCATTGGCGCTGAGAGTCATAAAAGCAGTTGGTGGCCCTAAGTGCCTAATCATTGCAAAAACATCTTTTTTGCGATCTGACCAAAACCAAGCAGAATTTGGTATGCAGCGAAGAAATGCGAGATTTGTTTCTAAACAATTATTTATATATTCTTCAGATTGAATGGTCTCTTTCGTAATTGAAGTACCTTGTCCAACATGCTTAAACGCAACGTTGACACATTTACTAACTCTCAACCTCATGATTTTAGCAGCGATGTATAAAAGGTGTTGTGGGTCAGTAGCACGCCTATCAGTACGCCGAAGTTCGCTGGTAGCTTACATGAATGGAGTAACAATAACACCATCTCTGTATGTTCGAAACTGACCGCCGTAGATTGTCGGAAAATATAGTTTTTCCGCATGTTCATCCATTAAAATACTGATTGGCCTGTTATATTCAGCGGGTGCTATACTCAAAAAATAATCATCATTCCACAAAAGAGTTTGTTGCTGCGCAACTAAATTGTCTTCAATTGGCACATGTTCACTTATTTCATCCATATTCAATTGCGAAGTACGTTCATTGCCGGAAAAAAAAGATTCATCGATTTTAATGTCATGATAAATATAAAGAGGCGTAGATACTAAATACGACAACCACTCTTTAATATGGCTCTTATTTATAAGCCCGTGGATATAACTAGTTTTGTGAATCAACTTCTTTTTCAAATGCACATAAAAGCAATTGTCATCTTCAATGTTTCTTGGCAATTGTTTCACCATTGTATTAACTTCAACAGGTACATTAATTATCTGGCCATAAATACCGTACTGATCATTAACGTGTCTCAGTCTACGAATCTGCATGAACGGTATTCTCGGGGAAATCAACCGTTGCTCGATAAGGTTTAACGTTGGTAAATGTGATGGAATTTTCGGATATGCAAAACCATTGTAGGTTGACATGAGAGGAATTTTTTCTTTTCCCAAAGATGTATAACACGTAGAGCAGACTTGAACCATTTCACCAGGTATGTAATTCTAAAAAAAAATCAAATTCGTGTTATCAAGATATAGAAAGAAAAATATAAAGTGAATAATTAAAAAATAAAATTACCTGCAGTATTGTTTTCAAAATACTTTCATGTTTACTGGTCGACTTTTTTCAAGTCTCCTTTCCACCATAGTCTGTCGCAAATAATACAAGAATGACCGAATGAATTACTCGTAAATTCTTTATAAAAATCAATATGACTTGTACTGTGTTTACGATAATTTGTATAAACTGGAATAGTACCATCATCAATAAAATCCATAGTATTTTCAACAATTCGATCTTCTCTATCAATCTCAATTTCATTTTCATGATTTTTATGGTTATCTTCGGTAGGATCTTCATCATAATTATCACGCAATAGTTCAATATTGGCACCAACATGGGCTTCATTTTGGGTAGCGTCTTGTACTGTCTCCAATAAATCTGATACTTCATAAAAAGGTGTAAAATGTTGTTCACGAAGATGAAGATGAATCCAGTTTTGTGCACAAAAGATAGTGTCTTCATTCGTTGTAGTTATGTTGTAAAAACAATAACGTAGACAAATATTTTGATTGTACATTTTTGAGAATAAGTACAAACAATCCAAATCTCCGCAATCATTACTGCTTGATAGAATGTTATATGCTTCTTGCGGATTGTGGCAGGAGTTTAAATAGGGTGAATCGCGTAACTGATTTCTCAAGTCACAACTCTCAATTTGAAGTTGCAAAACACTTATGAGCGAGTGGAATAGACAATTACCATCGTCAGGAATTCCTGTGTTTCTGTGTAGAATAACTTCGGGAGTAATGCATTCATTACGCTGTTCATAAATATGAAGTTGTTGGCTGTGAAATTGATTTTCTTGTAGCGTTACATTTTCTATATTTTCAACAGCGCTACATTGCACGATATTCTCTTCATTACTGCACAATCGTCTTTTTCTGGAAAAAAATGATGAAATCGTTAAATTAAATAATATTGAAGCATATATTACAATTTGTTTTTAAATAAATAAATAAAAAATATTATTATTAAATCAAATTACATATCCATGTGAATAAAACTCCCTCTTTATGTATCGCTGATGGCTTTCATCTACGTTTTTTTTGTTAACACCAATTGAAATTGTGAAATGATAAAACTGCATACATATGAACTTTCGGTTTATTTCCTTCAACTTGAATGTTAACAATGAGCAATTTAAGTACACATTACTTTCTTTAGCACAGGTTTATATTAATTACAACACAAATTTTTATGTTAGATGTGATCAATACTCAGACGCTAAGATGACACAATGACAATGCATATTACAAATCGCGTGAACAAAAATATAAAATAAAGTGACGGTAGGTCGTAAACATACAGCCCACCAAGGACAAATTTTCAAAAATTTTCCTTAAGACAACTAACCGATCAAAACATGAATACTAACGAAAATCTTTACGAGAATTTAACATCAAACACAAAAAAAAAAATACAAAATAAAATATTACCACATTGCATGCTTTCTTACTAATACGTGCTAAAACGAACATATGAGGCTCGAGAGCCAACAAAAAAATCAACATTAGTTGGTAATTGGCAAAAAACAAAATTTAGAAACAGGTCGTTTAATTACATTGTTTTTACATTTTAGACTGACAACTCGCGTAATTCCGTCCAATCCGGGATGTTTTTCAACTATAATACCATATAACCATCTTCCAGGTGGAAGATCATCCTCCACTACTAACACTAAATCTCCAATTGTAGGTTCAGGAACAATATTATTCCATTTATAACGATGGTAAAACTGAGTCAAATATTCATTTGACCAACGACGCCAAAAATCTTGTGTCATTTTTTGAGTCATTTGCCACCGTCTGAGATTTGTGATATTAGATGTTTCGTAATTGACATCAGGGGGTAAAACCAGAGGTTCTCCCACCAAAAAGTGCCCTGGTGTCAGTGGGATTGGATTGTCTGGATTCTCAGTAATTTTAGAAATAGGCCGAGAATTCAGACAAGATTCTATTTGACAAAGTAATGTTGTCATTTCTTCAAATGTCAAAGTTGAATTGCCAACAATGCGCCTTAAATGATGTTTCGTCGATTTTACCCCTGCCTCCCATAGTCCTCCAAAATTTGGGGAATGGGGGAGGGATAAAATGCCATTCAGTCCCATTTGTAGCCAGTTGATCTGCAATTTCCTTCCCTATACTGGATCTCTCATGAGCATATAAAGATTTGAGTTCTCGTGCTGCACCCACAAAATTTGTCCCATTGTCGCTCCATACTTCAGCGCAATGACCACGGCGTGCTATAAAACGCTTAAACGCTGCTAGAAATCCCTGAGCTGTAAGGTCACTTACTGCTTCGAGATGGATAGCACGTGTGGCCATACAAATGAATAAACAAATATATCCTTTGAATGACCGATTACCTCTGCCTTTAGAGGTTCTTAGTAGGTATATTAATAGGCCCTGCATAGTCTACTCCACTCTTTAAGAAAGGTCGACAAGCAGTAGATCTTTCAACCGGTAGTTGTCCCATCAACTGGTGTCTTATACGAGCGGCATATCGTACACAACGGACGCATTTACGAACACACAGTCGTACTAAATCCTTCGCACCTATTATCCAGTATTTTGATTGCAAATAATTTTGCATCAAGTGAGAGCACAAAAACTCAACACGATCAAGTAAATAAATTATATTTTCGGAGTTATTCATGTCAGCAACAATACGCCACGGTCTATTGTAGAAATTAACAACCCATTGGCAGTCATTGCAGTAAAACCTTATATTAAAATGAGTTTCTTCCCAAGGTCATATTAGGTTATTAGTCACAATATAAGAAAATGAACTTCTATTAAACCTATCAATATCTACAATTAGTACTTATTTACAATAGTAAAATAAATGATAATATAGTCAATCTGTAATGTATCACGGCTGGGGAATCCTAGATATTTTTTCGTATTTAGTAAACGAATAACTAGTTGGTAAATTAATCATGATATATATCTCTTTTTTTCGCCGGAGATTAAAATGATATTGCTTTTTTTCTTAGCTGCAGATTCTGTGGATTTATTTCATTTTGCATCAATTGGGGACCGCCGTGAAATGTTCTCTCATGAGCATCCGCAATAATCAAAGTTGTAAACTGTGATTTGCGAGGAAGAATGATAGGATGTTTTCTCTCATCACTAAGGATTGCCTGCTGCAGTCTGCCACCTACTCGTAGGATACCGTCTTCGTCAACTGTTGGATTGAGTGAGGTAAGCTTACTTTTCTTATTTATTTCTTTTTTATTTCTTAAATCTGCAAGCTCTTCACCGAAATGTTTTTCTTGGCATCTTTTAACACATATTTTTAAACTTTCTCTAATTTCAAAACTTGTTATCCAATCCTTCTGATCCTCTACTTCCCTTTTTCTCATTCTTTTAATTAGTCTTTTACAGAGTGCAGTAACGCGGAGCAGTCTTCTCAAAGATGAAAACCGTGAGTATATTTCTTCTTCGGTATCTGCTTCATCACTGTGAGTATTAATTAAACAAATTTTCATTTTTCTTTCTTCTAGATCTGTGTCTTCTATTTGACCTCTTGCAAAATTTATATCCTTTTCTTGCAGCCACTTCGGCCCTTCCTTCCAGAGTTGAACATCCCATTGCGTACTGCCGCGCGATGCACAATCTGCAGGATTATCCTTGGTAGATACGTGTTGCCATTGCTGCGGTTCCAGCGAAGTAATAATCTCCGACACACGGTTGGCGACAAAGGTTTTCCAACGACTAGGTTGTCCTTGAAGCCAAGCGAGCACAATTTGTGAGTCGGTCCACGCATGAATAGAACATTTCTCCATACCCATGGCTTGAGACACTTCAAGTAGCAGTCTTGTGAGTAGTACAGCTCCACAAAGCTCCAATCTCGGAATCGAAACTTGTTTAATGGGCGCTACCTTTGTTTTGGAAGCAATTAATGCAACATTAACTTCCCCATTGGAGTTAACCACTCGCAAGTATACAACTGCCGCAAATGCAACATTTGAAGCATCGCAGAAGCCATGCAATTCGCGAACTTTATCATCATTATTGATGTTGATCCAGCGTGGGATACTAAATTTGGTAAGTGAATCTAATTCACTTCTATACTTGAGCCAGTCCTTCAGTAATTGTGGAGGAAGTTCATCATCCCACTCAATTCCCGAGAGCCATAATTTCTGTATAAAGACTTT